TCCTTTAGAAATTTCTTAAAGAAGGATTTGTTGATTTTTCAATAATTGTAAAAGAATTTAGAAATAGGTCATTTTGTCCCATCCGGTAGTTCTAGTGTTAAAGTTGACTTAACGTTCTATCCCTTAATTTATAATAGGAATATATCTAGCGAAACAATTTTCGAATGTAAAGGGTTAACACTAACCTACCAGATGAGTGAAAATGACCCATTCCTAATGTCTTCTTTTTACAATTATTAAAAAGATGACAGATGTTTCTTTGAGAGATCGTTGAAGAATTCGATTTAGCAATACGCAAACTGAATTGTGAATCAATTAAAGTCTCAATAGATGCGTTCTTGGAGTTTCTATAGAGGAATTTTAAGAAGTCGATTTAATTGCTCGATAGCTTTAGCGTTAAGAACTGTTTCCCGACGTGTCGCTAGCGTTGCGACTGGTATTATCAGGAGGTTAATCCAAAATTGTGAAAATATTGGCGATAGTTGAACTGAAATTTTCACAATCACGATCGAAGAACAATGGCAGCCACGATTACGAATCGGAAACGATGGAGGAAAGATCAGCGGCAGTGTTTGCCGAGGAAACATTATATGTCCGAGTCATTTCGCGTCGAATCGAATCGCATGGCAGCCGATGAATAATTAAAAACCGGCCGGATGGTGGAACCCGTCCCGTTTCAATAAGAGACGTGCCAATGTTTAATCCACCATTACCGTCGGTTCTAACGTTAAATTGAACCCGCGATTCAATGCCGGTCGATTAAACGAGTATATTTGAAATGATAATTGGTGAGGACTATGTGTCCAGTGGCTACATATTTAACCCTAGATCACTAGACTACATCGTTCTCGCTGATATTTTTCATCGTCATACGAAAATTGTAAAAAAAACGTAAACTTTGGCACTGTTGTTCTGCAGTAATGAGAAGAAATGTGAAAATTTGGAAATTAGAGTTAAAAATATTAATATAATGTTTCTGTTGTATTATAATAATACAATTATAAATTAGAAATATATATTATAATATGTTATAATAACTCGTATTAAAAATTGAAACTTCAAATATGAAAATTACAAAAAAGACATGAATCTTAGCACTTCTGTTTTAAATTAATAACGCAGAGAAACATAAGTAAATTAGACTGTATAACAATATTATAAATTAAACTACCTAAAGAATAGATCGGGATTTTTATTTTGACGAAAGATTACTGATCCAGGGTTAACGTGGCCGTGGGAAACAAAGTCCTCAACCGAGTCCCGGAACGGTAAAACGATCGACATAATTCCGGACGCATCCTATCAACTGAAAATCTGCTATCTGGTCCACTCGTAAATAATCTGGGACAGTTTGCCGACCGTTTAAGAATTTTATACGATGGCAGACTGATTCGAAAGTCGTAAAGAACCTGGCGGATCGTAAAACGGAAGGTACGAATCGTCGAATACCGAAGAACTTCGAAATGATGCCAGTTTGCTCAGATTATCCGTTGCGAATCACGAACGTAGCGAATAAAATAAAAGTCACATTACAGTCTATCGGGATCGTTAACTCTCAAATTATACGCATTTGCGCATAAATAGACGCCCTAAATTAAATAACTCTCATACCCATCGAATTCTGTTTGTAATATTCGCCACGAATCTACTACGATATTCTAACAAGGGAAAATGATAAAACTTCGCGCGTAAGTGAAGAAAATCAAGCCTTTAATATTGCAATTTTCAGTAGTGAAACCACGCTTTGAAACTGATATTTCATAGCTTCTTAAATTTTCGGTTTCGATAACATCTCTTGTAAGTCAACGAGTCAATACTTTAAACATCAAAGGAATCTTCGCTACATTACTCTCCTACTTAAACACCTCGAAAGTGCAAAAATTTCATATCGCCACAATCCAAAAGCCCATGTAAAACCAGAAATAACCAGGAAAAAACGCTTTTCCATTATAACCCCTTTTTCGTAATTACGTACGTAAAAATTGGACTGTGCATAAAGAACCGCAGTTGTCGCGGAGCGATTATAACGTCATCATACACGATGAAAACTGAAAGCACGAGACGGATCAGGTGCGGATCGTCGGATAACTATGACGACAGCGCGTCACAGTGGTTTCCCCGTGATGCCTTGGTGTGACTAGCGGCGTGCACGCTGCATATACCGTACGGGCCGGTCTAAAGAGATAATATTGCCTTCCACTAGCGAAATATTGGCGTCGGGCCAAATGGAAATAGATAAAAAGCCCGAAGGGTGGCGGGGCCCCGCGTCCCCTCTCGCCAGTGCCAAACCGATGGATATATGCAGGTACATGCACGATTCCGGGATATGGAATATGCCTCATCCCATGTGTATACCGACCGTTGCAGCGAACCTGGCTCTCGTGATATCATAGGGGCAAGGTAAGTCCACCTACAGTGCGTTACTGACGCGAATCCAGCCGGCCTGTGGCTTAACACTTTATCGGCGACTTCTTTTCAGCGGTGATGCTATTTTATCATTCCAACGTTTGTATAGCAATACATATTGATGCTATTTTTAGAGAAACAATTGCTTCCACGTTTCTAAATAAACGATCGTTTATTAACACGTTGAATGCCGCACGATTTTAAGGTGCAGAATATGCGAAATGAAAAAAGTACAATATTAAACGATTTCATTGAATTGCGTTGTTATTATCGCTGGTTTGTTTTGCTGAATGTCATCGCATTAGGTAACGTTATTTACAATATAGGAATGTTTTCGTATAAACATCGTTTAATCGAGAGAATTACAGTGACTGAATTCGGGCGGAGGTCACCGGTGACCCCCATGGAATTCAACGTGTTAAAATCTTTTAAGATGCTTCTTCTGTTAGTTTGAAATTGTTTTTCGTTGCCTTCGAATCTCGGAAGTTTAGATCTATTACAAAGTTATAAAGTATCCTTGAAAATGCAGCAGAACCTGAGTGATACTAACGGCGATGCGATAAATGTGCGATCAAAGTGTTAAAAGTGAAGAGCGCAAGGGGAGACGTCCACTCACGGCGCTCGACCCGATAGTAATGGCGGAATTAGTTTCGGTACGTCTTTGTTACTGGTCGAGCCGCGAATTCAGGTGGAGCGTGCGGCGAATCCCCTTGCCCCCCTTCACTTCAGTAATAAACGTATTCCCTCTTTTGCGGTTCAGAGACATTCCTCATTTAGCCTCTCCATGTCACACTTCGCAAAGCAGTGTAGGACACCGTGTATACAAGAGGCCTACGAGACCCTTGATTAACCACGAATATAAAGTTCGCCTGTCACGTCCGTAACATCGATCACCGAGCTAAAAATGCATAGGGGAAAGGGGAAACATCCACTCGCGGTGCTTAGGTCGGTAGCCATGGCAACGCCTCAGTTTCGGCGCATCCTCGCGCAAACGTTATTTTCGTTTTTACATTCAACTGTATCGTAAAAAATAGAGAAACTGAGAGTACGCTAATGATTCAGCGACCGTTCTGTCCATCTCATTTCATTAGTACATTAGTACGCGTGAGTGCCGAAAATCCGTGCGGGCAAGCGTGTGCCGTTGAATTTAATTACTGTTAAGACCCCCATACAAGCTAAAACGTGCCGTGATACAGGCATCGCTACAAACAATGGGTTTGAGCCTTCACTTTTTGTTTGAGAGCAACGTTTATCATGAAACTTTGGAAGACTCAAACCCATCACTTGTTCTGGTGCATCGCCGCGAGTTTCAATGTGTATGGAGACCTTTAGAGAAGAGTGCCAGATTCGCTGCAACGGAAGGTACATGCATAATGCCCGCGCAACAATGTACAGCCCGGCTCTACCAATGCCAAATTCTTCCTGCGCCATAAAACGCTTCTGTATACCGAGAATGCCTGAAACGTAACGGCCCAAGTTCGCGGGTAGGGTTAGGCTATACAGAGCATTGATCCTCCTTTGATTCCACGCTACCGCGAATTGTCTCCAGCTTCTTGTAATATTACAAGTCGATCCGTAACCCCGAGCATGCGGAGCGTAAACTTTTTAGTACACCCTATATAGCAGCGCAATAAAACCCGTACACGTCTTTTACATTCTCGAACAGCCTCTTCGAGAACCCTTGTAGAAATTTTAACTGTGGATTTTATGCATTCCTGGCGTGCTTCAATTTGTAGGAAACGATAAACGGGCATTAGTGAAGTTTAATGATATTCCCACGTCGTTCGCGCTGGAAACTTTTAATATTAAGAGATGTAAGGTTTTGGTGTAATTGATTTCATTATGGACACGGGGCTTTGTAAAGTTCGCGGACTAATTATTATGGAATGTTTAAGTTTGAGTTTGTTGAGTAGTTATTTTTGGTACACCTTGTATATGAATGATAATAGGTTGCTTATATCTTTTCCGAGTTTGTATATCTTTGATCTTTTCAAGTATCTATATACATCTTGGACACCTTCCATGTAAATTGTAATAAGTTTGCCAAGAGTTTGTTTGTAAAACAAATATATAAATTATAATGTAAATGTTATTTCTAATTTCATCATGCATCCGTTTATGAAATGTACAAATACACGACTTGTACCTTAGATAAGATCGATAAATATTCTAGAGAACAAATCGTGACTTTTGAAAAAATAAATATCGCAAGTAATAAGAGAATAAATAATTAAACGAATAATAAAGCGATAAAAGTATAGAAAATTGCAAACTTTAAATAAACTCGAGTTTTTATTTCTAAGTATTCCTGTAACTGTGATAATTTTAAAATGGAAAACACGTAATGTCATAAATTTAAACTTTCGCAGTAATACGCATGAGTTATCACCGCGGCAATGGTGGAGTCTGAATCTTTAGTGGTTTCATCCAAAAGTTTCGCTTTATTTCGTTTGGACGTACGACAGCGTAAACGAATTAATGCGACCGCTATACGAGTACGCAGAAACCGTCTGCCTATATGTTACAGAATTAATAAAACTCGGCCAATCCATATATTACGCGGTGTAAATGATAGTACTGGTTAATTGTCCTACCTTTTTACTCAACTCCTCCTGAAGGATCAGCTTTTCCTGGTCTAATTTTAAACACACCAGTGCATCCAACTGCTCCTCGCTCGCTGTATCGCCATACGCTTTCAACGCTGCTTTCAATTTATTCTCATTGAGTGTCTGTAACATTATAATTTACATACATGTGTAATTGTTAGCAAATAAAAATACCAAATGTATTTGAATTACAATGCAGAAGCAATAAACATTTACCCTCATCTTTGCCAATTCCTTTTGTAGGTTAGATACTTTATTATACATATGGAGGACGAACAAATCGAAAGAATCTTCATCGACATCCAATTTCTTTTCATGGATATTCATATCTGGGAACAGAATCCGTAACTCCTCGTCAAAGTTTTCGCGGGCCGTTTTAACCTGGTTCCAATAACGTTCCGCTATATTGCCACTCTGTAATTCTGAATCGTATTTATTCTTTGCATCGTCGACATCGGCCAAGATTTTCTTGATGTTCCTTTTGGCAGCTGTCTTCATATGCGATGGCGCCTCGAGTTTGGGATCATCGATTAAATATAACATCTTCTTAAGCGACTCTTCTACCTCATTCTTGCGATTTTCCACCTCTTCAATTGCTTGTGTCATCTTCTTCGATATTTCTTTTAATCTGCAATGTGAAAATACTCTGCTGCACTCGTGAAATTATTAAAAGAATATTAATTATCCTAGAAGAAATATACCTATTCCACACAGCACTATCAACATTATCTGTACTTTCTAAGACTTTAACCACATCCCGATTGTAGTCTTGAATAGCACACGTTGCCTTCTGATAAGCTTGAATCACCTTAGATGCTGTTTGTCCACATAACGTTTCTACTTCCACCAGACTCTCTGGCATTAATTCTTTGGGTACATCCTTAGTAGGAGGTGCAGGCTTTTCCGCAACTGAAAATTCACATATTGATTTGCTTATTTATGTAGATGGAAAAAACCTTGATTACATGAAATTAAAAAAAATAAACAAAAAACGTACCGACTTCTATTTCTTCTCCTTTACTTAATCTTATTTCAGTATAAGGTTCATTAATAGGTGGTTCCTTCTTTTCAACCAGTGGTACGAACGCTGGTTTTGGTGCTGCAGTATATATGTTATTGTAAAATGTTAGTAAGCATATTAATTGCAGTGTGAAGCAAAGTGTTTCTATTTATATTAAAATTATTTACACCTAATAATAAAAAAGAAAAATGAAGTAAGGATATGAAGGAGTCAGGAATTAGTAATAAGGGCTCACGTATATAGTCTTCAAGGTTCATGCAATCTATACTTTTTTGTAGTAGCTGACCTGAGTCTTTTTCTGAGCTTTCTCCGAAAATGGCAGTTGTAATCCTGAAAATAAAAAGGTTATATTTTATTGGTAAAATATTACATTGCTACTGGTATTTTGCATTATTTTTACTAACGATTGCTTGAGTGACTCGAGGTATGTACGTATAAAATCGAAATATGTTGACTCCTCCTGAAAGATGATCTGAATTGTTTTGTCCGTGCCTGGTACCCATCCTTCAAGAGTTGCACGAAATTCTGGATTATTCTTCGCATAAAATAATATTCCTGAAGCTCCTATTGCTACTGCAGTCAAAGTTATCAGGATTCCTCCACCTCGACTTTTTTCACTTTTGTAATAAAAATTTTAATAAGTATCATATTTACCTATAATTTAAGTAGTAAATCACTAATTTAAGTAATATTATAAATAATAAGGAAGCATAAGGTAAAATGAGTTATATTTAAAATAGAAGCTCATGAATATTCACAAGATAAAGTCTTTTTCTTAATTTATGTAGTAGCACATATATTGTGTTACCAGTACTTAAACCTCTTGCAAATTAATGACCAATGTAGAATGAACTCATGCATGCAATTTTGTTATGTAATATAGATAGAACAATGCATTAAGGTTTAAATTCTGAATACCTCTTCGACGAGTCAGTTGAATACCTATGTCCAGATACTCTGGACGTAAGTTTGACATCCTTGAAAAACCTAAAACACACAACTAAGCTCACATAAAGTATCCACATTCATCCTGTAGAATAAAATATTTCAAATATGTCTTTCAATACAATAAATTTATTTATATTAGCTGATTATAAGTGGCTAATAACAAATGCTACAAAAATGCCTATAATAATAAATATGAAATAATGTTTAAAAACTTAAACCCACTAGAAACTCAAGAAAAATATCACAAGCTCCAGAAAAAATTCTACCTAAAACAAGGTATTTGTATCAAACATAACCTAGTCAAAACCTAACCCAAATATGACTTACAAAATACAAGAAACTTATGATTATTTATTGACACCAGTTTCCGAAAACACGCGGAAACGAAAGAATGGAGAGTTTCTTTTCTTCAAGAACGATGACAGTTCTGACAATTACGAAAATGTGTAACCAAACAAACAGAAAATTGATTTACTTACCTCCAGTCCGGCTCACATTTGACTCGTGTACGTGTTTCATAGCACCTAGTTGACAGATAGAGTTTGGAGGACCCGTGTTTCTTGATCTGAAAGAGCAAGGACGTCAGTGAAATCTTCTGGAATTATGTAAGCTCTTAAATTTAAGCCATCTTGTCACACGAGGCGGGCAACCTTGGTCTTGTACACGAGAATATTCACTGACAACTCGCAAAAACGCTTTGGACATGACACAATCACGATTTCTCGCACAAACCACACACATTTTCTTCCAGAAATAGGAAGAAACAATGACGAGAAACTAAATATTATTAGGAGAAACGTCGCGGCAATAGTCAGACAGCACGTAGTGAAGAATGCTTTCTAACTCACATTCCGTTCGTATTTTCGTTCCAATTTATGCGCTGCTAGAATACTGAACTCACACGAATTAGATTTTCTTCGTACTTACTTTACATACCCTATTTAAACCGTTGCACGGAAATTTTAATCCAATTCGGAACATCTTTCGGGTGGCCGGTCAGGCAGCCAAAGGAAAAAGGGAACGACGGCACAAAACAGCTGGTCACTGACTGAACTGTACGAAAAGAAGAATGTTGCGTATTGCTAGTACCGCGATTCGAGGTGCGTACCCTTAATTTCTTCGCGATTTTATCACCACTGGATCCCTTTAACTGAATAATAGCTCGTTGGCTTCATTTTAAGCCATTATTCGATGAAATTCGATAAATCGTTGCGCGCTAGTTGGTCGTAGTTCATGCCTTATAGGTTATGTTCGAATGCATAGAAAAGCCACACCGTTTAGCAGAAGAAATGCCGGAATCGAACCAAGAGCGCGCTCATTAAAACGTCGCGTTAAAATAGTACTAATATTTGTTTCGATTTATGTGCTTTAGGAATTGTTGGTCGCAGCAATGTTGCTAATTTAACAAATTCTGTGGTTTTGAAACGGTACCCGTTTATTCAAAATGTGCAAGAAAGATATTTCGGAGCTCTTTCTTCCATTACCAGCACATGGAACAATGTTGGCAACATTAAGTCACAAACATTGTTATGGTATAAGTATTATTTTAAAATATAAAATAATTATGGAGGTGTGTAGTAAGCAATATAATTAATTTTACAGTGAAAGCTCTGTAAACAATGTTATTCCTTCAACAATCTTACCTACACTAACACCTGCAAGGACAGTTATAAAATTCTCTAGGAAGAAAGGGAAAAGGAAAACCGTGACGGCTGTAATTAAACGATTCTATAGATTGAATTGGTAAGAGTAAGATAACATGAACAATACTTAAGGTTCCAGTCAATACATTTTATTCGATTGCAGGGGTATATGGATCAGAACACGTGCTTCACGTCACTCAAAACTTTGGTGCAAGCCACAGAACAGAAAACGCAGACTGAGACAACACGTTTTTGTTAACGCAACACAATCTACTTTATTGGATAAGATGGTAACAAAGTATTGGAGAAGACCACATTATTATGTAGATGACCCCTATACTCCATATCATACGCGTGAAGAATTCCCTTACACAAGGATGAAACCAGTACCTTAATTAACTTCACTGTATGAATATTGTGTGTACATTTTTCATTCATTATAACACACTGAACAAAATTAGCAAATAAATTGCGATTACAAACATAATCGACTTCTGATTGCCTTCTAATTAAGTTCTGTTTTTAATAGTATTATTAATATCCATGATTATTTCCTTATATAATATTCAAGAGTTAAAAACAAATGTATATCGTAAAAATCAAAATAGGTTATTATACTTTTTAATTACGAACATTTCATTGTCATTACCGGAAGGACACTGGTACCGGACTCTTGTATCAAGCCTGTAACTGTGCGATCAGTCACAGTCACCCAATTTATTTCCATCCATCATTTAGACGTTTGAAAAAGACAATACTGTTTGTTGTTACACGATAATCCCAATCAAATCAATCACCGGTTACTTTCGAAGTTGACTAACTTTTTCACGGAGATCACGTGGCTTGCCCCACCATGGTTCGATGAACGGCGGAGTGGCGTAACGTGTTCAGTCGTAGTTCGTCCTTCGCGACGAATGCTTTATCTTTATTAGGTATTGTCAGTGGTCTTTTTCTCTTCCATCGGAGATAGTAATAAGATTACGTTCCTATTTCCTTCGAAGCATTTTAATCGTCAAGAAAAATGCCTTATCGCGGCAAGTTACGATTGCTTAGTAGAGCCTGCTTCGCGTTCAGGAACTCTTGTGCCGACAAGAGCAACACTCATCTCGCTGCTAGCGTTCTCGTCAGGAATTTCTCTGTAAGCGGTGCACTCGACATGAGGTGAGCGGAACCTGCATGAAATTTCGAATCGATAACGATACGTCAATGACCGCGAAAGATCTTAACTGACTTAGTTTCAAAGTGTACACCGTGATAGTCGAATTTCGCGCGGATTTTTTGATTGTGTTTTCTGCTTCAAATAATTGTACCTTTTTTCTTGTTTACTCCCCCATGCACCAAAACAAGAAACAATGTACTTGATAATAACTTGTAATATTAAGAAACAGAATCACACAGGTACGAATTTATTGGGAATTCAATTCTCAAAGTGCAAAGCAATTTGGGCTGATTTAATGTCGATATATTTGGAGGGGCAAGTGTGCCAATTCAAGGGTCAATATCCTAAGTGGACTGATGCTTATAAATATTTATAATATTTTAATATGCTGATAATAATATTGGTAAGGGTACTGCTCGAAAACATCAATTTCTCGACAGGTTCTTAAGGTTCTTCACCTGATCGATAGTCAGTCTCCCGATGTCATTGACTGTCGTTAAAAATCAGTCAATCGGCCAAAATGGTTTAAACGTGATTTCAAGATCTATTTAATACCATAATCCATCAGTTAATTGAATTTAAACACCCCAATACATTCGGCCGAACTTATTTAATTATGTCATCGACTCTGAACAGGTCTGAATTTGCACCCTTGTTGGGTGGCTGTGTACGCTGAACTTAGCAGCGAACGAGACATGCCGTTGATACGTTCATTACCACGACGACTTACGTTATTTTAACGTAAATTTTCAAAAATTTCATCAATCAACTGAAGCCGTTAGTACGGCTTAAGGTAAATACAACTCGAGTCAAACGAAATCTATTAAAACCTATACAACATTGCCACAAATGAAAATGGCACTAATTGAATTATAAACTGATGGAAATCCTCTATGTTCATTAAAAATTAAAAATATAATTCGAAAATTAAGTTGAGAGATACGAATGGTACGGAATTGTACTAAATAAATTAAACATATGCTCTATGCTGCAGTACGTTGGGTACTGATAAGTACCAAGCCTGCCAAATCTGAAATTCAAAAGTACTAAGTTCATTCGATTCGAAACTGGGTCATTCAGACATCAAACATTGTATAAAAACATCAAACAAACACTTCAGAGATAAGTTACAATGCACAAGTGTGCACTAAACGTAATGTTAATGTTAATCGAAGCCGTTAAGAGCTGAAATCATTGCAAACCACTCGAATGTTATGCAGTCAGTACAAATTATGAAATAAAAAGGAATCACTTGGGCGAACCGGTCCTGGCCAGCACTCGCTTGAATTCAGCGAATATCTTTCGCCTTAACGTCTCCTTATCGGCCACCGTGAAATGTTTGCTTACGTGATTTTTCATCTGTACGCGTGCGTAACGTCGAATGTGCACGTATTTGAAAGGGTGTAGGTGGCAGCACTATTACCAACAAAATCATTTAGATCGTTTCCAAATGTTTTCTCTTCGCGAATAAAATTTATCCACAGATCTTTTCATGAGAATTATTGCATAATATTATAGTTAAACGATCTCACCACCCCTGACATGAATTTTTCTTGCAAAATCATCAAATTTCACGCGAAAATATACTAAACCGTTTTGAGTTCATTTCACCATTTTGTTCACCATATACGAAACCGTATGTTGAATTTAGTTGAGGCAAATATAAAGCACGCGAATAAAACCATATGACAATATTGTACTATTTAATTGTATAAATTGTAACTCGATTATAAATGTTTACACGATGATTCTTAAAATCTTTAATAGAATTATGAACATTTATTCTACTGATTTTTCCAATATTATGCGTGTATAAATACATGACACATAACATTCACCACCATTGTGCGCAGTAAGAAGGAAAAATATATGGAACACGGAAACTTTGAGTAACTTGGCAGTTTCCTGTAGGTACGTTTAGAATCGATCATTTCATTGCGCAAACTAAAGGATCACATTGTATGATCGAAGACAAATACGCAGTAAGCGTACAGTCTTGTTTGAACTGGGGTGTACCCTATCGATATTTCATTAAGGAATAAATATTTGCATTAAGAAAAGAACTCAGGTCTCAACTGTCGAATTATCGAACATCGTCGATCGATATTTTTCTTTAAAAGATCAAGTACTTCAGAAGCATTATACGCGTTTACCAGGGAAAGCTTGGTATTTGAACTCTTCAACTCAGGCAACTGTGTACCGTGGAAGAATACGTCTTCGCTTTCACGAGAACCTGTTTAATGCAAGAAATGGGCTCGCACCGCGAATAACAATGTTGAGAATGCATCACCGCGATAAGTAAACAGGTGTCTGAACGAGAGATTAAAATTGAATCGATAACGGACGATCCACATTACTATTTTCATTTTCTAGTTTCTTATGCAATATGTGAATTCCTCGAATATTAGACAGTCACGGTACAGTCGTTATTATTTCTGAAACAAATAGTTTACAGTAACAGAAATGAAAGTAAAAATTAAACACGGTACCGTCTAAACTTATACATTCTTGAGTTTTAGATTTATCTGATGTTTTTATTTCTTCACTTTTTTCGAATGCTTTCAATTCATTTTTTATAGTGAATTTGTTATTATCATTGTGTATATAATCATTTAAAAGTAAATAACGGTTTGTAGTTACAGAATTTGAATGATTCTAACGGAGAATGTATTTTCCACCGCCATTTTGTCGCAACTCTTTTCCCGATTCGATGACACCGTTTTCCGTTACCATATTTCGAAATGACTTTTACTGTGGCGTTATCTGGCCTTTTTTGCATTTGAAAGTGATTAGAAGAAACAGAAAACTTTGGGATTTTGTTATCGATGTTTTATAAATATTCTCGGCCTGAAACTGATAAAACGCGCGTATGTTAAAGGATAAGCTAATCTCCTGATTACGTATTGCTTACGTATAGACACATTTTTTCCACTGCTGCTTTAATTAAAAGATTAGTAACGATTGTAATTTCACTGTAAATACCATTAGCTAAATGATATCCATTAATTGCTTAACATGCAAAAAGTCAAATCAGTACAGATCAACGATTCCTTAAAATCAGAAACTCTAGAAAATGATATAAGTCTTGAAATACTTACCAACCAATTATTATCTATAAATAAAACATCAACAATTATTGGTTGTGTAATTTAACTTACGTATCATGATACTAAGAATTACTGAATTCCAATGATAAAACATTACACAACGACAATGAATATAAAAATCACATAATCCTTAACGATACGAGCAAATCAAAATAATTCAATATTCGAGATTTAACTCTTCGACTGCCACGTCACCCCAATTTGAATAACATAATCTTTCGAATAAATTTAAGGATTCTATAAATATTAGAAGCATATCGTTGACATTTCCTTTCCATTGAAAAAATAGTTTCAACCGTTTTTTTACGGCTGCTAATTCAACAGTCAACGTGTTAATGGAAAAAGTATAGAATTTATAAAGTAATAGTAGGACAGATTGGAATAACGTAATCAACGATCAAAGATTTCCACTTAAAAGTATTTTCTCATTGATTCTTCAGGTTCGTGCAATTCGTAAGCAAGAATGGAGGACCCCAGCACCTAGGGGTGCAACTCAAACAGGGTGGAGACATAATCGCCGTGTCCGCGGTCGACTCGCGGATCCCAAATTCATTGAAGAAATTCCTCGAAGGAGGCGATGATCTTCTGAAGAAGGCCAAAAGGTAGGCGTGGTTGAATTTTTACCGACCAGGAGGGCAACAAATCCGCGATAAACGTCTCCTTATCGCGGACAGCCGCGCTTCGCCCCATTGATTGATAAGGTAATAATGGGCAGATATTCCGAAACCGGCGAAAACAAGAAACCGTTACATTTCAAGCAGAGATAACGCCGAAAAATTTTAATTAATTCGCAACATATGACGAGATATTCATGTACAGAGTGGTTCGGTAAAACCGAATCTGGAATATAATACATTCATGTCTCTAATTAATTCTGACCTTTATCAGAAAAATGTGTGAAAGTTCACTGTAAAAGAATATTCACGATATAGATTTAACAAATTTTTGAAACTTTACTTAGTACAGATTTTCGTGTTTCATTTGAATTAAGTAGAAACGGTAAGTGACAGACACGTGAAGTAGGATCTGTTGAATAGCATGTGTACCCAATAAATTTTCAAAGTAATGCTTTACTTCTGAATAAAGTTGTATTTGCGAAATTTTTATACTTTACTTTTGTAGAGATAGTGTAAATAGTACAATCTCTGAAATTAATTGTGAGCTTCCAGGGGAACACAGTAACATAAAAAGACAGCTTTATCATATTTATACATATTATTTGATTGTTCCACCGCTTTTTTTCACCATAAATCATTTGTTTACCAGCGATGACGATGTCGACCTGTGGACCATGATAGAGAGGTTCGTCTTATCAGAAGTGTGAAAATGATTTTTTTACCCTTGAGTTCTTGATTTATTTATATTAATTTGTTGTGTCTGTGAACCTTCGTAAAAGTCCCCTTCATTCACACATAGAAGACATATACATCGTAACCCTTTATCGAACTCCCAAGTTGACTCGCCTCCTTAGAAAACAGTGTTTTTACTGTTTTAATGATCCCTGCTGCTTGGTCGCTAAATTCTATAAGCTATTTGCGACTGGAATCATTTGCTTTATACGCGTAGCTGGGAATATAAAATTGGATCTAATGAGAAAGTAATTTAATCAATGTATCTGAAATTTATTTATATTTCGATTAATTTTCTTACTGTGTATATTTACAGAGTTATGCATGTTATTAGATTCAATGTGTAATTTTCAAATTGGCAGCATTGAAATATTATGATTTATAATAGAGGAAAACGTTCCCTTATTCTCTTCCTCACTTTTCATTGCTTAAAACAAGGATTTTATTCTCATTTTTGTATTATTCTCTTTGCCTATTGTTTTAATGAATTAACCGCCATTTTGTCTAAAATTTCTTCGTGTTTTAATATATTGATATACACAAGCATTCATCAAAAATGCACTAAATTATATTAATTATCTTACGTCGATCTGATAATTTGCATATCCCTGTAATCATTTGAATCCTTTGTGCTCCATATAATAAAGAAATGTCTGAAATTTCGATCTGCCTGCTGTCTAGACTTTTATCAAAGGCATCTGCATTAAGATAAGCAAATAAAGAATGTTTGACATAAAATATCGACATCCGTTCTGGATCTCTATCTTTTTGATAATTAATAATAATGATTGGTTTCGATCAGGAAGTGTCACTCAGTGTCAGTTGATCTCTTTATCGTATCAGTAATGTTAACGAGATCCTCGTTATCGTTTGGTTTACTCTATCATGTCCTGGTACATCTACCTGGCCTACTTGTTTTCTTCAACAATGGCTACTCGTATAGTAGATTGTTGACAATACCGCACGTGTTCCCTTCTCGAGTTACACGCAAGTGTGATGTAAACTGAAAATGTAGTTTGAAATAATCGAACATCTCTGATGATCCAACAAATGGGACCTGCTCTTACATATGTTGACCAACTAAGGTCATTACGTTTGAAACTATCTTTGTCATTTATAAAAATTCCAAAATTGATCCAAATGAGAAATTAATTTGATAAGGAAGTCGTTTGTATAACAGTAGACAAGATGTTGTCTCCAAATACTACCTACTAATAGATCAAATATAATTAACTCGTGAAATTTGAAGTTAAAATGATCGTTTTCTCGGAAATTTGGACGAAGTCAATGTCTTAGACCTATTTTGATCTAGTTTGGCTAATGATACTGCTCCTCAATGGGCTAATATTACAATATTACTGTATTTTGCCTAGCAAGTATATCTCTAAAGATACTTATAGTAATAGTTTCGAAATCAGCAGATAGATGGCCTCAGATTAATCCCCATTCTCGCAAGTATTTATATTTGTCTAAGTTAAATTTTCATTTAGTAATATATTTTATACAATTTATTTACGTCGATTAATAACAGTAATCCTTGAATCATTGCGACTGGTTTAATGAGCACAATTTGAATCGATAAAGTAAGTGTTTTATTTAAGAAAACTTTGAACAAAGAATGCCAAAGTGGTTTTGTTCTGAGTGTATTCAATGGTTTAGAATTATTCTCTGCTGTATATCGTTTATTTTTTAAACATCCTGTATCTTCAGATAACGACCGTGTGAGTAGACAATAAAAGTGATTCGGGACTTCTTGGCATATCTCTTTGTATCGTTCAGAAATATTTGTTGCGCGCAGATAATTTGTGAAAACAGTGGCTATCAATAATTCACGAAATGGCAAATAACTTTTGCTTTATGCAATCATTTTACATGTGCGAGGCACACCCACCATCTGCATGAATTTATACTGAAAATTTATTACTCGTGGCTGCAAATAGTTTTATTTTTGTCTGCGTGATAAATGCAACTAATAAATTATTCCCCGACCAAAGTCTGCAACGATATTATACTATATGTTTAGTAATGTATTGTAATCCTGACATTGCATAATCTGACAATTAATGGAAAGTTGAATAATCCATTGTTATAACAGTGAATCCTAGGAAGATTAAACCTCGGAACACGTAATAATTTTCGAATGATTTTTCCAGAAATAAGATCAGCGTTAAACGGAAAATCTTTCAGACGAAATATATATTTCTAATGTTTTGCGTTTAACCTTTCAGAATTAATAAAAACGGAATCTCGCAAATTTTCAAAGTTTCTCTTGCCCTTGTAAACTTATTGCGTGATTTTCATTGAAGAATAATTATCTGAAATATGAACAATATATTTATAACAACGAGTACAATAAACTAAGAAGCTTTTATTAACAACTGTTTCCATTGAGCGTCTAAGTCGAAAAAGAACAGAAAACAAGAAGCAAAGAGAAACTAATTAATCACGACACAACTCCTTACTTTACTGTTTTATTAAATAATTAATCATTAATAATTAATAATTGAAGGAAAAAAGAAATTCTAGGCATACTCTATGCCTACGTCTACTCTGAAGTATAACAATTGATAACAGAAGAACAACATTTCATTTCAATACAAAAGACTGTACTAATATTTATGCTTGTTTGAAATCTTCATCACGAGTGACACGTGGTTACAAGACAACGAGTTAAGTGTGTCGAGGAGTGAACGAAAGAGCAATTTATAATTTATAGAATCGTGGCTGAGGGTCGCAGCGTCATACCGGAAGCGGAGGTGAAGTTTCTGGCACCGGTAACGCGGATGGACAAGTTGGCATGCGTCGGCCTGAACTACAGCGGTCATTGCAAGGAGCAAGGCTTGTCGCCGCCAGAGACACCCGTAGTTTTCAGCAAATTCCCCAGCAACATCATCGGCCCGCGCGATAACATCACGCTACCCTCGATCTCGGACGTAAGTTCAAGAGCGATCGCGGGATCCGAATCCGTAATGGCGTCAGCAGCGCTCTGACTCTGTCTCTGCGATACCACTGACCGCTTTATATTTAGTCGCGTCGATTATATAACGTGTTAACGGACTTTCGAACTATTAATAGAAATCTGAACAGTAGGAGAGAAAAAGAGAAAGACTAAAGAGATCTGCGATATACAGATCGAAGTCGATCGTTTACTTCGACCGGACGATCTGTTTTACCGACTGAAACAATGGAGGAATTCTGTTACTCTTTCATCGCATCGTTCATTCTCATATCTTTTCAACGATATTATTTATGTACTCATTTATCGATGTTGAATTAACTATTATGATTTTATTATTATGTTCTTACATATTATTACAGAGAAATAAGGTTTAATTGTAGAGGGTTGAAGAAAGTGGTACCTATGTGATTATTGTAAAATCAATTTTAATTGTATTTTCTAATTTTGATCGTTCTGTTATGGAGTATTATATGTTTTAAAGGTACTAAATTTGATTATAGCGGATCAAAAGAGAATATATGTAAATTGTATCTACCCGATCATCGAGATTAGAGTACCCCAGAGCTAAGAAAATCGACGTCCGGTTTATTGATGGTTCTCTTGTAATTCTTCTGGCAGAAAGTCGACTGGGAGGCCGAGCTCGCGATAGTAATCGGGAAAAAGTGTAAGGGGCTGAAAAATGACGAAGGCGAGGATTGTATTTTCGGTTATACAGTGGCGCAGGATATCACGGCGCGGGACTGGCAAAAGTCGAAGAGAAACGGCGGCCAGTTTCTCCTCGGCAAAGCCATGGACACATTTTGCCCGCTGGGGCCGGCAGTGGTCACCAAGGAGTCGATATGCGACATCAACAATCTGTCCGTGAAAACATGGGTGAACGGCACGATAAAACAAGAAGGGAACACTAGCGAACTGATCATCAAGCCCCATGAGATCGTCGCCTACATTTCGCAGTGAGTATCAGTCGGTTTCCCGGTTACCGCTTCAGATCTTCACATTTCATTGCATTTTATTGCTACCTCGGATACCGCTCCACCGCTGCCGGCACTAAAAATCATGCGATAACGACTTGCATTCAGCTTGTTGAATCACGACTAAACGCGCAATTACGTTTGTAGGTTTATGACTCTGCTGCCAGGAGACGTGATTTTAACCGGTACACCGGCTGGCGTGGGATTCACCCGTAACCCACCGGAGTTCTTGCAGGTACCGTAAATTAATGGAAATTTGAAGCTGAGATCGAATATTTATATTACAATATTAAATGCTCGTAAGTGTGTAGCTAGATAAGAGGATCAGAAGCGTTTCAGAATTAAACTAAACGATAAATCGTTCGATAGTTCAAGGAAAGGCTTCGAGTGCCAAATTTCAATGTTTCTATTTCTGTATAGTGGAATGAACTAATGTTTACCCTTTCAGTTAATTCTCGATTAATTAACAAAAATCTTTACATTCAATTTAATTTGGTTCACAGACATGTTTGACCTTTTCATTCAATTGTACGTTTTAAGTTTCACGAGTTCAGTAATCGGAATTCGATAATGGCAGCTGAAGTATCGATGCTTAATGTTAATGTCAATTTTTCTGTTTGTATTTATAGTTCAATGCTCCGTTTGTTTATGCATTTTAGCGTGGAGATGTACTAGAGACGGAGATAGAGAGCTTGGGACGCATGAGGAATAAAGTTCTCTGATCTGATGCCTGGGGAAGTACAGGAGCGGTTTGCCCTGAGATGTTTCAGGGCCAGAATCATCCTCAGAACGACACGGAGGAATCGCGATGCGTTCTGAACAGATTCAGTGCACGTCCATGAGAGAGGAAAGGAAACGATTCGAGACGATTCGTATAAAACCGACACATGTTCACGTTAACGACCGTTCTTCCTGAAAGAGAAAATACCCGAAAGCCTAAACGCATAAATACACATGTCTTGAATAGTGCTGACAGACACACGTACGCGCGCACGCGTTTTAACGGATACACGTACTACACACACACATACAGGTCTTCATATGCACCACGTATTTTGCGTCTTTGTACAATTATTCTGAGACTGTTCTTCTAAAATTGATATCAATTTACTGTATGCGTCTTTTTTATCGCGATTGTTTTTTTACCAACCTCTGCGAACTTCTATTAAAATATTTTTAGAGGAACCGTGGCGAGTGTTATCATTGTAACCTTTAACGTAATTCTTTTTATCCCCATTTTAGCAGTCGGAAAATCAATAGTTTATATATTTTTCGGAATGCTTTATAAACTATTAAATATAATTTGTATAATTTTCGTTTGATTCTTGTATGGTTTTCCTTGATCATATTTATTGTTCTTCATTTAGGTGTCTGACTAACAAGACTTTATATACATTTGTTAAATGTGTAATCAATTTGTAAAAAAGACTATTGACTATGTTTACTGACTATAACAGTATGTAAAAATGCTTTAAATTTGATCATTGGTGTCCTTACATCGAGAGATCGGAACGCAAAGATCATGAATTACAAAATTCGTTTTCCGTATTTTAACACTTATCGTCGCACTGCATAAATAGTACCGTTTCTTAATAGTATGAGAATACATATGATAAATAGTACACGACCATATTGAGCAAAGAACATGTTACGTTCTAAACACATATTTCATTCACGCTTCCCCCAAAATAATCTTATGATGATTCACACTGTCAAATAGATTAAGTTTACTGTTCAGAAAGCAACTCATTCAAACTATTCACTTACCATTTACTTTACCACCTTGAGGAACGTATTTAAATTGTTCCTTTGGGACTTCCAAGTTACAGATATTTGGAACTGACCTGCTAGCTTTCAGTGAATTGCATTAATTCCTAAAGTTTATACTTTATGTACACGATGCTATCCTTTCTTGAATTTAATTAACAGTATCGAGAGTGTCATGAAGATACATATCCAAATTAAAGTGGAAATGAAGCCAATGTATACGGTTGAATTGGATATGGGCCAGCCTCTAGCTAGCATGGACCTCATGGATTCTGTGCTCAATGTAAGAGGCAGGATGAAGCTGATGTACCTCAATACAACATGCATTCCTTGGATGGGCCAAATTATACCACACAGCATCACGATAGGAAGGAAAGAACCCATCGCCATATACGTTGCACTTGTTTCGTTTTTGCAGACATAAGCAATGACGAATCCTGTAAATAAAAATCATTAGACATAAGCAAATATTGATTCTTCGCAGGCCTGTTTTACCTCAATAATTATGCATCAAAATGGATAATTTCAAAACAAATTAATCAATTTATGTTGAAGATATTTATAATATTGTAATTATGTCATGTGTAAATACAAGTTTAATGCTTGTAGACTGTTTTGACTTGGATTAGTAAAATACCTTATTAAACTACGTTTGAATGAAGTATTTTCCTAATTTGTTCCTACAATTATTTATAATATAATTGTATAATATAGAAATAAGTATAGTTCTAAAAGTATTACTTTGATGCAAATTCTGAAGTGAAAAAAAAAATAATACAACAACAAAAAGGATCATTAATAATAAGTTGACTTCTTACCGAAACACATTCCACACAATCCAGTCATGATAGTCAGAACACTGACCCACCCTATGTTACCTTCGCAGGTAATATTGAAGAATGCAAAGGCAACTATGATAACCATAACTGTTTGCCCTACCATCACCACGAACTGCGTTATCACTTGGCTGAAAAGTATTTCTGATCCTGTCAGACCTGATAGAAAGATATTTGGTTACTTATTTTTCCATTATTTTCAGTGATAATTGTCGTTACTTCTAACAGATTTTATCCTTACCAGAAACTAAAGATCTCTCTAGGAGACCTTCGTTCCTTTCCAGCAACATGGCGCCCGAAGTTAGAGCGACGGACAGGAAGAAGATGATTCTAAAACATTAACATCTTTGTCAATTTGCAAATTTCATAGTATTCTTTTGTATGTATTTCATGTATTACGTTAAGATAATTCCAGGTGCTGCAAAGTCCGTAAAGTTAGGCTCCTGAGGACCATAAATAGGCGTTTCGAACTGTACACAGTGAAATACATGTTACTCCAAATGTCTACATTAGTTTTTTCATTCATCATTCCTTTCATATACAAACTAACTCACGTTCACAGGAATACTTGTTAATTTCCGGCTGTAATTACAAGCCACTGTCACATCCCGCGAGAAATTCTGAAAGGCGTAGTACATATCTCTTTGAAGAAGTTGGCTGATCTGCTGATCTAAACAAGAAATATGAAGTAATTTAATTTAATAATTCAAAATAACTAATTACTATTTTATCTAAAATATCATAAATCCCAGTGTCATAATAGCATTTCCTTTTTCAATCTATTTTCACAGATTATTTGATATTCAAGATCAAAATATTTCAGTTCACGCTTCGTGTAACTAAAATAATTTGAATTCGATATGAACTAAGTAACATTTTTATTTTAAATGTTATTCAGTTCTGGTTTCTGTGTTAGCGTAACAAGTATCAACTCACTGGACATGTCCATGGTGATGAACATATTGGACGACTCGATGCTCCAGAAATCGGCATCTTTACCCAGTTCCCATCTTGCTTCAAGCGACTCACTGTAATTCGCAGGGAAATATATGAAGGCCCAGGCCTTGCCTCGTCTCACTGCCTCCTCCCCTTCTTCGTTCGTATCATAATGTTGAAACACTATCGTTCGATTTTCAAGGTACTCGAGGTACCGGCAACTTAATCTTGACCAGTCACAGCCAACTGTTGGTGTACAGGGATCCATACTGCTATTCAATTCCTTATTAACTATCGCTACATTCAAATACCGTGGGTCTTTGCCGATCGAAAGGCAGAACAAGGTAATTTGGACGACTGGTAGACCTATGATGAACATCATTATTCTGAAAAGAAAGAGGTTTTGGATGTTGAATGATCATTAATGATCAATTAATCAATTGGTTTCGTTCAACGTGCTTAAAGAAACATTATTTCAGCTAAGAACAGTATTTTAGACTTTGAACAACTTAATTCGGTTTTTCATGTTTCTAATTCGATCAATCTTTCGTGAAAGTTCCCTTTTTTTTTTAAATATTTTCGTTGATTTATTTCACTCACCCTACGTTACGCCACATCCACAGGAAGTTCTTCCATATAAGAGCCTTCATATGCTTGGGATCGAGCACCATTGATTTCTTCGAGCTTTTCTCTTCCGGTGGCAATTCTGGCACCTACTCGATGAATCATATTTAATTTATCTCTAAAAGAAGCTTACGACGTTACAAACGAAAAATTATAATTACATTAGCGTCGTTAGGGGGAGCAATGCTTTTCCTTCGACTGGAGACACTGACGTTGTCGCCGAACTCGCCACTCATCTCGTCATCGACGTCCTAAGAAATTATCAATATAATCTCACTAAATATCCAGTGACTCTGCTGAAGAAAAATATTATGAACATTGCAAGAAAATCGAAATTTTTCAATGACCTCTGAGGATCTCAGTAAGAGACTCCTTTTTTATATATAAACCTATTAATATTCTATCTAAATCATTCGACAAACATAAACACTACTCAATTCATTCGAATTCAACATTATTCCTCTACAATCATTACGCTTAGAAGCAAACATAAACATAGAATTTTTCTCTTTTCCCAATAAATGATTAATGACAAACTAGTACTATCAATCAGAGTCGAGAAAGAAATCATAGGACAATTAATAATTTCCCTCCAATCTTTCAACAAGCTGAATCTACTAAAACCTTCGCGATTCGTTAAGAACAACGTACAACTTCCGGAGGTACGCCGGTGACGCTGCTCAGGATGCTGCTTCTTCTTCGAAGACCCATGTTCTGTCTCTTGCTGAGTTTGAGGAACACCTCCTCGAGAGTCTCTACATTGTGCATCTCCAGCAATTTCGTCGGCGACTCCTCCGCCAAGAACTTGCCGCCCCTCATCAATCCGATTATACCGGCTTGCCTCGTTTCTTCGATGTAGTGTGTGGTGATTATAATTGTCTTGTTGCCGTCCTTCGTGATATGCACCAAGTGGTCCCAGATGTTCTGACGGAGAACAGGATCCACGCCTACGGTCGGCTCGTCCAGAATTAATAATTCTGGATCAGCGACAAGGGCAGCCGCGAAGGACACCCTCCTCTGCTGACCACCGGACAGGTTCTTCACCATCCGATTTTCTGTCGGCAGCTGCAAGAACTGTTCCACACGGTGTCTTTAAAAGTCGATTCGTGTCTCGGCGATTCGATACGCGAGAAGAGATTAATCGCTGGTAATTCATTTAACGCTAAAACTACTAGGTTTTACGTTCCTGGTTTCTTCTTCTTGCAATTATGAAAAAGAGAACGGACGTTTCCCTGAGAAATTACTCAAGAAATTGATGCAGCGATGTACAGATGGGGTTGAACATCAATTAAAGTCTCAATAGATGCACTCGCGAAGTTTCTCTAGAGGAATTTCGAAAAGGCAATTTAATTGCTTGGTAGTTTTAACACTAGATTTACGTTTATTGTGCGGCTTGTTCTGTTTCTAGAAAAATTAATGTTCGTTCACTTACATCTTGGAAATGGGGGATTATCAAATTCGATTCATTTGCTAAATAATGGTTAGAAAATGCAATACAAGTCAAGTTGACGCGTAAACCTAGTGTTAATCTATAAATTTGCAGTGCCCCTGGTGGAGATTCGATTAAAATTGGTAATGTGATTATTGGAGAAACTGTTTTTATGCTTATTGAAAAGAGAAAATCCTCTTGTAGATCACTGTTATATTTACTAATTCAATTATTCATCATTGTATATAAAGTATTGTTATAAATAAAAACATTGATATAGGGAAGACTTTTCTATAACGTGCTACAATTCTATGAAATATAGGATTCAAATTTTTCGATGTAAGAATAATCAGACCTTTATAATTTCACAAAGGTTTCTGTAATCTTTTCCTTTTTTTACGATTTTTCTGACTGTGTTTCACTTGTTGCAGTTCGATTTTATAAACTAATCGCTTATTACCCGTTTATATAGAAGTAACCTTCAATTTTTGCAAAACGAAGGTCACGTTTTTGTGTTCTTAAGTATTGTAGTGTAAGATGAAGTAATATCTCACTTTAATTAGAAATTCCAGCTTTTCGTCGACTTGGTGGGTCGTCATGCCAGCGCACCAACCGAAGTAAATGCAAGTCTCCCGAATGGTGAACTCTCCGTACAGCGCAATCTCCTGTGGCATGTAGCCAACACGTGGACCAGGAACACCTGATCCTTTAGATCCTGGTCTGCCACCTAATACCCAGATCTCGCCAGCGTTCAAACGTCTTCGACCGACTATGCACGAGAGCAACGTGGTTTTTCCGCAGCCACTTGCGCCGAGTAGGCCGTATCTAATCAAAAATATGTTTAATTCAAGTTAAATTCAATAGACCAAGTGTTTTCGTTTCTAATTTTCAATTAATTTCATAGCTGAAGCTGAAAAACTCGATCTTTTGTCACTGAAAGGGACTCTTATAACTTCACATTTTAATAGATTTTTCTATGTTTGTATTTAAATAATACTTATAACTGTAAAAATACATTATAAGATTATTTATTCATGAGTTACATGAATGAGGATTTTTACAAATTCCATTCGACCTTTCTCATTCATTGCAATGTTACTTGGTACAAGATATTTTGCATTTACGACTCGTTTACTTGCGAAGTTCAACGTATTAAATACTGTGCGCACTTTTGTGATAAGGTAGAATGTTGTTCAATAGGTGTCCACTTGGGAAGCAAGAAAAACAAAATAATTTAATCGACGTGCGACTTTATCTGATCATTCCACGTCTCAGATGTGAATATTTGTATGGCTATGAACTTTACACGTCGTCCAGACACTGCTCTCAACTTGTGTTGAAAACTAATTATGCAGAGTACAATAATTGTAAACGATCCGACAGAGAACAGGACACGATAATGAATATATATTTTTGAAAAAAGATGAGGCGGCGCGTAGACTGACTCAGAGGCAAGAGTCATTCGCGTATAGCGTACTCGTGGAGATTTCAACGTCAGCACAAACGACACCTTCCATCGAAAAATTCTTCTGAACGTTTTAATAGATTCCGCAAACAAGTTCTCAGCCGATGGCACGCAAAATAAAAATTCACCGTTCATTTCTGATTTCTGCTTTTGACAATCTTCATTTTATATTTATATATAAAATAAATATATAAATAATGAACTCATTTATAGAGTTATACAAACGTAAAAGGTTTACTAAAATCATTCTCGCTGTCCAAAATATAGGTTCCTTACTTAAAGTTTGTATGAAAAATTTATTTGAAAAATCCATCTTCAACATTGTTTTAAATTAAATGAAACTTACATTGTGCCCTTCGGCACAGTCATGTTCAGCCCATCTAGAATAACATTGGGGTTACTTTTCGGACCGTATTTTTTGTAAGCTCTCCTGACGCACACCGCTTGTTTTCTTCTAGTATCCAAAGTTGATGCTTGCGTCTGAAATTGCGCTCTTCTTGTTTTAAGTTCTATGGAAGCCGTTGATACCGGCGGCGGAGTGCTTGTGGTCTCCATTTCTACAATGACAAATTTATACAAGCCACGTTACATAATTATTCAAAAGAAATATAGATAGAATTATTAGTAAACTATATTACAAGTTTATTTCATTTTCTAAATACATCAAATATCTTATTAATATCTACTCAAATAAATATTCTTTAATAGTGAAATGTATTGCTTTTTTTACGTTATAAGGTCAATTATATATTTCTGTTTTCAATAGAATAAATAACACATTTTTTCAGAACACTAAATTGATATATCAAAGTCTACCCGATAGATTGCAGTAAAAGCACGAACAAAAGCAGGATCATATATCAGTCGTTTCACGAAGTTAGATGTTTAAATCTCAGATAAAACGTTTCAGGCACTTCCTAGTGTGAGTAGCAGGTGGGCAAGAGACAGCGGCAGGTAAAAGTGATCTCGACCTGAGTTACAACAGACTTCGACTGTCTCCAGTCCACGTGCACCTCTGCATATCTCCGTAAAGCGCAAGTCATCCAACGTTTCAACTGTTTTGCGAAACATTACTATGAAACAACGTACCAAATAAAATCTATAGGGTGTCTTAAAACTGTGTTTTTCAATAAATTCCGAGCTTCTAAACCGAAGATCAGAATCATGAATTAATTATTTCCTCCGCAGCCTTTTCGAGAGACCCCGGATACCACAAAAACACATATTTATAATACTCCAAGACATTCTGAGAAAATTCAAAGATTAATATATTCAAAGAAACAAAACGTAGAAATCTTTCAAAAATTCTAGTTCTCTAAAATTGCGAAGAACCTAATACTCCAAGAACTCACAAGCAACGTGGTCCTCAAAATACTCAAAATAGTTCTAAGCTTGTCAATAACAGCGATCCAATATCCTCTATTATTTTTCTATTACAAGAATATCAAAATATCGAGAATCTATAAATCACTATACAATTTTCCTAAATAATTCCAAATATTGGATGTTGTAAAACTATTTCGATATATTTTCTATCTTTCGATGTTTAACCACTTGCGCTGGAAATGAATTGAGAAATTTATCAAAGTCTCCTGCGATGAATTTTGTTTTTACCTATCTTACGCTGATATGTACACTTATTTTGTTTGTTAATCATTCTGTATAGAGTGATACATTTCGAAGCAATCTAATAGGCGTAAAGCAACAATATTATCAATGTCAGAAAGACATCATTGAGTATTTTAAGATAGAAACGCCTCGACGTGCGTGGCACGTCTTTCCAGCACAAATGGTTAATACAGATAAACCCTGTCTTCGGAGTGAACACCGAGTCAAGGTGATTCACGCTAGAAACTAAGACCGCCCCCAAGAGAAACGAAAGAAACCTCAATATAGAAATGTCGCTTGAAGGACGAGATAATCGCTACAGGTTCATACGTAATGGCCGGCATCTTGTAATTCGTTAGTGATGTAATGCAGCGACAGACTCTCACCTATCTCCAGCTGGTCCAGCCAGCTCGTGAAACGGTCTCGGACACGCGCAATCGTCGTCCGCGCTGTTCGAACTCTCACAGCCCGTACTCCTTTTCCCTCCACTTTCGTTTTCGAAAAAGCGATCGACCTTGTTACGCAACCCTGATTCGGGGAATCGGGCCCTGATTCAATGCAACACGTCGGATACTTTTCAGGGACGCGAGAATGTTTTGAAGAAACTGATGACCCAGTTCTGCGGTCACCTTATTTGCATATATTCAAGTTGCACCGAGTAGAAAGATATTTGTTCACTGTTCGAACGTTTGTTCGACGCATTCCTGGGCAGTATTTAGCAGGAAAGTTTACAATATATTTCGTTTACTTTCCAGGAACGGAATAAATCGAATTCAGTTATATTAAACCGATACGATTTACCTTTCGGATCGTTTTATTCAATTTTATTCGTGTTACCAATCTTTTTCTGATCTTTACTTTTATTTGTCAGATGTAACTCGATCGTGTCAATGTTTTCTCATCGACTGTGCAGTTGGAAAAATGCCTGCTCATCAGTTTGCTCTGGAAGATTTTGTCCTTATTTACGCGTTCATACAAAACACGTTGTGTCACTGTGGTGTCTGTTAATTTGACAGCTGAGTCATCAATAACTATAATGAATGTGACGCAAGGTGTCTGTGTTCTGATCCTTTTAAGGTTTGATCCGCTGACACTTTGATTTTACCGGAGTGAATAGTTTGTTTTATTGTTTTGGAAAGAGATGGCTAGATATGATATCGTGCGTGTTCATTCGTTGAATATCGTTTTTACGGGACGAAGAAGTTAAGAAAGATTCACAGGCGCGAATCGCTCGTGCTGTTACGAGCTACTGAACTTTTTTGATGGAGAGAAAGATTCGTAATATTCGGATCTGCGTTACGTAACGTGGCGAGAATTTATATGGTTCCGTGGAAGGTAGGAATAAATATTCAACAACGTTTGATCTGTGACTAAAAAATGTGTATATCTAATTTCCATTTTAATCTACACAAAAGTATCAGGTTTAAAGAGTCTTGCGCAATTATTTCTGCAAGGCATTTCGAACATTTCTGTAATTCGCGAAAGAATTCATTCGAATATGTACAATTTGAAGGAGAAACTTTTCGGCAAGATGTCTAAAGCTCATTTTCAATTTCAGATCATTTAATTAAAATGTGATCGACTTACATAGTAGACAAGGATTACACAATCATAGCCGACATTAGACGCTGCAGACTTGCAATCGACAACCAGGTGATCCTAATTAAGTTGAAACTAAGTAAGCTATTTAAATGTCAGTGCTTTCAGTTAGCTTGTTTTTAATACGACCGTAAAATATGAACATTTAAAGCAGTTTAATTGAGTATAAGCTTAAAGTAAATACGTCATAATCGTATTCCACCATTAAAATCTCATTAAAAAGTCGACGGAAACGAAACTTGGTTCCTGTGTCGGGGAGAAAAACACAGAAACCATTAAAACGTTCTCAACTTTCAGTTCGTGTAATAAAAGTTTCTTCGGAAAGGAAATCGACATCAAAGGAATAACATTAAACAATCAATGTCGAAATAATCGAGTGAATGAAGTTATCGATATCAAAATAATCAAAGAAATTAAGTGACCAAAATCAAAATAGTAAAATAAAGCCACCAGTCGGTATCAAAATAATCAAATAAATTAAGTTATCGATATGAAAGGATAGTAAAATTAACCAAGTCATCGTCGTCCAAATGGCAAAATAAATTTGATGAGTCTACTCGTGAAAGTAAGATCACAACAAGCATCCAAATATTTATACATCGCAGTGTACTCTTGTACTTCGCATTGGCGTGGGTACACGGTAACCTTCCCGGTGAATTACGAGGAACGAGATCTTGTTTGTCAATCACGGAATTGCAAAGAGCCGCGACCTCGCCGGTTAAAACGGCTGACAAATATCCTCGGTATCCTTGCGCGCAGAGGCCGCCGCGCAAGTTCATTGAAAAAGAAACGAGCGGCCCGGGCGGCTGTTTACGCGAAAGTCCAAAGAAATGGAAAGCGATTAGACGTAACCTTAGCCAGATGCATCTTTCGCAACCGCGGAGCCGGCTCACATGGAGAAATAAAAGCAATGAGAGAAATCCTTCGTGAAACCGAGAAAATATGTTACCGGGTTTCAGGTCGGGTACAACATCCGGATCATTCTTGCTGCTCGTGGCTAAATACCTAATCATTTGAACGGTAATTAATCGTTCTTGCACGCAACGCGTGAATTATTAAATTATCGGTGCTTGATGGTGTGCGGTCCACACATCACTTGACTGTTTTTATTTTATAATTTTTCTAAATATCTAGTTTTCGTTTTGCTTTATAAGTTTTCTAAATAGCTAGCTTTTATTTTATAATTGTTCTAACTTTTCTAAATTATATTATCGTACACGTGTATTATTCGGTTCGGAGCGTAAAGTATCTTTTAAAGTGAAGATCTGTATTTCTTTAAATTAATTTATTGAAAGGCTACACAGACATAGAAGGTATTTGCTGGTTTGTGTTATATTATAAGTCTATAGAAAATGTCTACTGAAAATTGAGATTGTAAATATATATTGAAAAATAGTTAGAAACACGAGAATGTTATTGCAAGGCGTAAGAGAATGGAAATAAAATGTTTGCGTACTCTATGAGATCCTATAGAGTGACTATACAAGATTTAGTTCACGGAATTTAAAACTGCACAAGAAACACTTAAGTCCCGGCACAGTTTATGTTAATAGACGATCGATTTTACATATTTAGATTATCAGTTCGACGAAAAATGACATATTCGTTACATAAAATCCCGGAACCGCATTATGCTTCATCCGCGAAGATTTAATTTCCTCCGTTTCGCGATTAGTATAATTTCTAGAATTATCATCATCAGGACTCAGGCGCTGCTCTAAAATTGGCAGAAAAACAGTCAGTGTCGTTTCAAGGTATGGAAATCGAGATCGAGGCTAGTGCCCATTATCATTAGCAATTATTAACGTACCGTGCGTCATCGGGCGCAATTACAGGAACTGTAAATAGAAAGAAATATTCAAACTTTCCCCCTTCGTCGAAGATATAGTTTAATACGCAAGAATATCGCATGAAATTAATATATTTATCGTTTATTTTAATTTTATGATAGATTTTCTATTTGAAAATATATTGTTGAGTTCTTTTGGAGCCACGTGGATGGAAAACATTGAAGATACTATTTTAATTGAAGCTTAATGCCAGAACAGTGAGGTTGACTTTTCCAAATTTTTCTATAGAAACACTAAAAGTACGTCTATTGGAAGTTCGATTGATTTATAGTTGAGTATTTAGACTTACTAGAAGAATTTCTTTAGTATTTTATCAGAGAAACATCTATCTTTTTAATTATTGTGAAAGGAGAATTCCGGAATGAGTTATTTTAATGTATCTGCTAGTTCTAGCGTTGAAAATAGAGTCAGTGTCGTCTATTTCCTACGTAATAAAATACTTTGCATATATTTATCCGATACGCACATTGCCGCATATTTATTCGATACGCACGTGTTTCATGGTAATTAAATTCGCAAGCTGATAATCGAATTATAATCTCCTGCGATTAAATTTATCGTTATAGCATCGCGTGATCTGAGCTGCTTTGAAATGATTGTTTTGAAACGATTATCCTAACGTTTTACATTTTCCTTCCGCGATAATATGATACTTTGAAATCAACATGATACATTGTAATCATCGTCTCACGTCAATTAAAACTACATCGTTTGCAATTTCAAGGCGAACTACATTTCACGGTCGTTTATTTGGTTGCGAAACTGTCTGTTTTCAATGTTGATCTTCTGTTGAAATCAATACATTTGTTTCAATTTAACTTGACGAGGAATTTCTAAGCTGTCATTTACTATCCTACAGTATTTCTTCAGAATGTAGACCACATACTAAAATCAGCGCAGAAAATAATATTTATATAAACCCTTTGCATAACTTTATAAATTCAATTACCTACATTATACAACTTTACGAATTCGTTTATAGAAACTTTTCAGACGTCTTTACTCAATCATAGTTAACTTCCTTCTGTTTGATCAATAAGCTATTTTCAATGAGGATTCGTATGAAACGTGGTACATGTTTTTTCGCTGATTCAATTACATCAGCAATTTGATATTTAAAAGAAGCACGCACTCTTTGCTCTCATCCCCGCCATTTTGTTCCCCGGTGAACAGGTCAATGCTTCTCCCCTTTCGCTTTTCGTCAGTCTGATCGCTCAATGAATACTAACCTGCAACACGATCCAACGACAATGAACTCCGGTTCTCAGCTTCCTAGACGATCGACAGTTAAATCCTCGAGCTCTTGCGCGTCGAATCAATTACATCGCACGACTCGATTGTTCACTGTAAACGACTCGACAACCATCATCCACAATACAGTGGGCCACTTGGACCTGGAAGATTCCACTTGGATCACTTCCTCACGTCTGGAGCACCACACTTTGAATATCCAAGATAACTAGATTGTCCACATAGATTTTACGTCTTGCTTCTAGAAAATTCAAAGTATAATCACTTTGAATTCCCTTGCGAACCAAGTGCAGATTTTTCTCCACAGTTCCCAATCCTCTTCTAGATGATCGAACTGTTATTGTTCACTGATTAAACGAGATCAACTTGAAAAATAAAACAAGCGATTTATTCGGTCGAATCTAAAGATCCAAATCCTCTTCCAATCAGAACCACTTGAAGGACACTTTAACAGAGCTAATTGAGACGAATATTAATAGGTCCTCCTAATAGAAACCACTCGAAGCAATTAGCAAAATCCCCTGTCACTTCGAAAGGATTCTCCTAAACTCTTTCCACTAACTATAAATCACTTCTCCTCCAAGACAAAGAACCAAAAAACTCTTCCGAGTATCCTGGCTACTTTGAGTGCCTCCAAATTCTTTATCTTCCTCCAGTAGATCCACTAGATCAAACCAGTTTCAGATGTCCTCCGCGACAAAACTCAAGCAACGAGTATCCTCCTCACGTGTAGCTCCAAAGGATCCGTTTCAGATTTATTCCTCAGGATCACTATCTCAGCTAGCAATCGCAACAAACCGATTCCGTTAGAACGATACCCGCGAAACTTGAAACGTCGGAGGATCCAGCGACGTTTAGCTACCCTTGTAGCAGTGGCACGAGCGGCTTGGTCGTGTTGCCACTGTGAACTGGCTCGGCTGGACGCAGGATGGAGAATCAAATGGTTGTGCAACTCATGTCGAAGCCGTCTCGAGGCGCACAGCCGCTGGAATGGCCAGGCCAGTTCGCAAGTGGGGGCTAAAGCCTGGCTATTCTGAATAGTGCCCGCGTTGTTTCGCGGGATGAAGAATTTTCCGGGAGAGCACGGCCGCCGAAGCCGAACGGCTTCAGGATCGTTCGCTTTTTCTTTTTGCGATCTGGTTTATCCTTTTTTAAACGCGCCACGGAATTCCCTGGGACCAGCAGATCCTTCGATGCAGTTGCTTGGAGCGTGCTTCTGAGCTACGTGTGGGGACGTAGGGTTTCGAACAATGGAAAGTCCTTGTTAGATCTGCTTGTTCTGTTCTGTATGTTTCCTTTGGGATTGTCTAGGTATTTGTGTGTTGTGTGTTGGAATTAATGGTAGTTCCTTTTCGTCGATATCGTTAGTAGGGAGTCTTTTTTGCTAATTTTGTAGGTGATCCTTTTGAAATACAAAAATTAATGGAACGCAGAAAGTTTTTGTAATAAAGATTTTAATTCCTTGTGCTGTGCTTTATTTCTTAAGTACGATTGATACAGCTACTGTATGGTCAATAATTTGTTAGGGAAAGAAGAAATTTTGATGGTTATTGTATGTCTAGGTTTACTCGAAAGGTCAACAATTGATAATAGGAAAGAAATATTTAATTTATGTTCGAACAAAATAAATAACACTTGGATGTACCAAGTTTAAAATTTTTAAGGTGAATCGAGGGGTTGAATTACTTTGGAGAATTTTTTTTTTAGAAAATACAGAATATTATTTTGTTGAATATTTTTGTGTGTTAAGGAAAATATTCGGAAAGCAGAGTGAAGTGAATTTAATGAGGGAATTAGAATTGTATTATTTATCTCCTGTCCATTGCATTTAGCACTTTGAATTATGTATAGTATAATGACACCTGTCATTTTATGAAATATCTACTGGAATACTTCCTCAGAAGTAATGAAACGTTTTTTAGCGGACCTGAAATCATTTACATATTAATGAGATTACTATCTTAACGAAATCTCATTTTATATATGCATTTACTGATAATACGTAAACAATGAATAAAAGATTGCAACGAAAAAAATTATAGAATGAAACTAAAAATGTCTTTTCTTAGTTTGACGTGCCAAAAAAGTGACCATGACTTGACCATCGTCAAGCATCTACGTTGTAGGTATCTTGGAATCTGATCACTCAAACAAAATGCAAGCTCGCACACTCTCGACAGTGTGTAGATACTAAATCAACGCCTGTACAATTGTAAATTCTCTTAAATTAATTGATAAGCATTCAACGCCTCTTACATTACGAAAAACAAAGGATTTATTGAAGATACCAACGGAGAAAGTGTTTGATAATCGTGAATGGGCTATAAACGCATAAAATCGACAATTCACCGACTTAGAATTCAATTTATTACAAAAACAACCTGTAGAAGTCATCGCGTATTATGCAACTATTAAAAGAAAACTGTATTTCGCAAATTGATTACTTTTCTACGATCAAGGCGCGAAACTACGGGAGAGGCTTATGCAAATCGCGCTGGTGCGCGCGTACGCCGAACTCTTCTGTCCAGCATTGAAATCACCGGTCGAGTTCAGTGAATTTTCGCGCGGCTCGTCAATTACTTCGCTCGCTTAACGTGTATCCGTTTAGCGCAGAAAAAGCCGGTTACAAACACAAAGCCACGCGGGAAGAGTTCCTCGGTGCAGAAACGAGTGAAATTCGACTAGAAATCAGGTCAGAAGTTTGCCAACGATTATTACCAAACTGCATATTTTCGTGAACGTGTATGTTAATATCTACGCGTCGTGCAGTGAATTTAGAATTCGTCAGAAGCTACTGTTTACCAATTAATACAGATTACGAATTTAAAGGTGCATTAATAAAACTGAGGATTAATCGTAAACTTTCAAAATGCCAATTGCTTTGAAGTTAAGATTCATTAAAACTTTGACTCCTATGATCTTCTTCGCGACTATGCTTGATGAATCTTCTTTATTATTAATAATTTAGTAGAAAAAGAATAGAATGTTAAAGATCAAAGATCCGATACTATACAAATAATATTTCATTCATATTAAAAATAAACACGTAATAGTTAGGTCCGTCGTTAGGTTGAGAATTTTCTGTATTTTGTATATTGATGTTTTCTATATTGGCTTGTTATTTCACTCACTGTCCAATGAAATGCTAACCTGAAACCGGATTTCGCGATACCATCGTCGCATAATTCTAATAAAATGGTAGTCGAAAGTTTAACTTGAATCACATGGAAAACGAATGTGTTAAACTGCGAGTACTGTTTTTACCAACGAATCAGCGGGAATGAAACATCGCGTAAACATTGGCGATTTAATCATCCGATAGTCTTCCTTCTCGCCGGCAATAACGTGAATCTCGTTTCGAAATCGACCGAAGATCCCCGCTGTTTGACATTCGCGCAAATTTTCCAGGAATAATGCAACGGTAGACAAAGCGAGTTCGTGAATGACGAAACGTTGAATCACGAGTTACAGATATTCCGGTAGCGTGAAATGTAGTTCTGGTGGTAGGAACAAAACCATCAGTGCCAGTGCGGCTTATAGCAATTATACACAGCGATTATACCGCCATTAATTTCATTGCTTCGTTGACAGAAATGGCGGGTGCAAGAAAAACTCTGTCCTTAGCACTGGCCAGTGTATGCAAATGCAGGTCTAAGGATACAAGTAATTGCACATGATGAAGTGCCCGTCGGAAAGAAATAAAGGGGAAAAAATTGGATAATGTGTATTCATTTGCCAACTTGCAAATCATCCCGTTTATGATTGACAATCCACTTTAGACGCTGTTACGTCAGTCGATAAATTTGTTTAGTACGTGAAAAATATGTACCGATGCTTCTAAGGATTCTTCTTAGAATGTCCAACATTTAACGTGACTGACAAATATTATTCCTGACATTGAAACGCAAACTAGGTTTATTTTTTTCGAAAATGTTCAACAAGCATCGATGGTACGGTTTAAGTAGCACATGCGACTTTTCAAGGAAATTATATATTTATAGATATTCCTTTAAAGCGTACAGAGTGATTTTAATGGAAAATGGAGATCAGGTTGAAAAACATCAAAGAAGAAGGCGACAAGAGGAAAATATAAAGGAGTGAGCGTTGTGCGGATAAACTGCGGTGAACGGGAAATTCAGTGAAACGTGATATTAACTTAATTATTCTATTATTGCTTTTATTTGTATTTTAGTTGTAATTATTTTATTTATTCTTATATATTTAATCGTATAAATAATAAGAGATCAAAATAAACATTTTTCGAGTGCAGCTTTCAAATTCTCGTACAAGATGCGAGTCGCAAGTGCTGTCATTGTTCCATTCAAGAAGTTTTGCGTCACGGTAACTGCGGTAATGATTTGTTTGCTGTAACTGTCAGCTGCGCTATCGGGACAATATAAAAATCACTTTGAAGTCAAGGAAACAAGCCTACTCCACGGTCGTTAACGAAGTGCACGGCTATGGTCTTCCGGAAAGTGTGATTAATAATAAGAATAACAACACATCGTTGTTACAGAAGAAAAGGCAAGCGTGCGATCACACAAAAAGAGAAGTAAAGTGGAATAATTGTTATGAACGATTCAGCTTTAAGATAGCTATTACGCTATGCGAAAATATATTCTTTAATTTATTGAATAAACTACAGGATAAAGTAAAAAGTGGAATAAAAGATAAAAAAATGAAATAAAAAACAAACGATACTGTGTATTGGGTAATGTTAAACGAATAATATTGATGGACTGAATATTATTTTACTATTCTTAAACGCATGGAAATTGATGTTTTTACCGCATTAAATAGAACATTAACTATTTCTTATTATTAAGCGCGCCGGACACGTTCATTTTTTGTTTCACTTGGGAAACATAATAAAAAAATGTCCAGTTCGTTAGATTTATGAAAGAGAACGTTCAATTATTTTTCTTTTATGGAAATTTATTTGAATATTGTTACTGTAACATAACTAATTAATATTTACATATTTATTGTGTTTAGAAATTTGTATGTTATTTTAATCCTTCTTTATGTTACGTATTTGTGATTAAACTATAAACATACTGTGAATAGATGCAAACGTACGGAATTCGAATAACTGTACAAGGGAAGGACACGTATTTTTCGGCTTTTTTACGTGATCTTGAACGCGTTTCGCATGAATGATTAAAACGATGAGTCTCTGTGACGTAAATAATCTTCCTTATTTTTATCAAAATGCAAATGACGATGAATTATTGATATCAGAACTCTCTTTTGACGTCTTTCTTACGTCTTCGGTCGTCGCCATTTTCTTAATACGTATAAACGTCTTTTTTCATTTAATTTTTTGAAACAAATAAAATGAAACGAAATGAACATCTTCGAAACTTAACATAAATTCTTCTTAAATGACGTTTACAGATTGATATTTAAAAATACTAGTTTCTACAATAACAAAATACAAAAGAAAATCATTTGAATGATTCATCGAAATTATTCAAGATTCAAATACACAAAATGTACAGTACAATTATTACCTTGCACGTCCGTTACACCAGAGTTTAGAAATTGATAGACCATCTAAAATGAAAGCATTTTTCATGTTGCGAATTAATCACCACTCTATATGCTGCATCAGCGATGGGAATTCAATTGCAACACAAATGTTCCGCGGAGTTCTGCCGTTTTCAGTGAAACATCAAAGCGTGGCGCGGAAAGTGTACACGATAGTCCCGTAAATTCAACGTCTTAATGACTTTCTCGTCGACTCACCGAGCTATGAAACGTGGATAACGGATGCGTACTGTTTTCGAGATGTTGACATCAACGGGTGAGGTAATTATTGCAACAATGTTTTCAAAAACCGGCAGAGTTCAGCGATTACATCCGAAAGCGTGGAGGCGCCAACGCTATCTTGTTTTTGTTACAAAAGCGAATGGCAAAAGAAGGCGGAAGTTGTGGCTTCGAAAACATCGAACATCCAACATGAAATATCGTATAAATACGGATTGAAATTGAACAATGAG